TGCTCCGTCTGCTTTCTCTATGACTCCCACAGCACCCAGTAACTTCCCATCAGCTTTCCACCGTCCTGTGCAGGAACTGCTGCTCCCTGCACTGGAAACAGTCACTGTGTGGGTGGTCCTCAGGTTGGAGGCTGCCAGGCTTTAAGCCACCAAACAACTGCTTCACAGCAGCCACTTGTGTGAGCCAAGCTCTGGGTCTGCCCTTCTCACAGGGCCCAGAAGTCACCGAGGTCATTTCAGGGGAAAGTAAGCTCCATGGAAAGTGTGAACAAAAGACATCTATGCTCTCAAAGACACACAGGCCCCTGCTGCTGCATGAAATCAAGGGTGAAGTGGGTTTTATTTGCACCTTTTAAAACCCAGGGTGTGGATTCCTCTCAGGCTGGCACCTGATCCTCAGAAACAGCACACACTGAGGATTGAACAGCAGAGACCCAGAAAGGTTCTTACGTGTCATCCCAGGTTTTGCAAAGTGGCACGTTACAAACACCTGAGATATCCCAGCTCCTTTATCTCTGCTCTGATAATGAATGTTTTGACCTTGGCTAGTCTTCTCCACTTCCTAATCTGTATAAACCCACCATTTCAGAAGCAGTGTTTTTGGTGCTGCATTGCTGACTCCTGCAACTCAAGCAAAATTGCTCCAGAAATCAGAAGCTTGTAGGTCAACATTTATTAACCTTGTATTAAACTCTATGGTAATTATTGCCCTTGTGTTACACCATGCTCTCGGCAGTCACTACGAACTCATTTGTACAAATACCTACTCATGTCTGTACTTTCACCAAACTGGTTTACTAAAATAGCTCCCATATGGGAAATGCATTTTCATGGATAGTCTTCTCTTTCCTCAGTCATACTGCTTGTACATCTCCTTCTCCTTTGGTTGTCAGACCTGCATGGCACCAAGCCACCAACCTCTCCTATGTTTGGCAGGGAGCTAAGGAGCATTTCCTGATTTCCCCACTTTGGTAATGTCCTTATTCTTAGTGTTTGGTATGTTAGGAAACAGGTGGAGAAAGAAAATGAGATTTCTGCCAAAAATACATGCCCTTGTTCTTAAAAAAGCCCCATAAATTCATGTTTCAGGCATTAATTCAGCATCCAATTATTAGGGATATGGCAAAGATAATCCTATAAATAACAGGCACTACAGCTGCTCATTGAAAGATTATTGGGCCTTCCTCTAACAAGGCACAATAAAATAGCGTATTTATAAGGATGCCTTCAGAAAAAATCAGTAGGGGGGAGAGAGAGAAAGAGAGAAAACATCTGACCAAAAATTGTAATTAATCTGTGGACAAGCAGGTGACAACTTCGGAGATCCAAGAATGCTGTTTTTATAGTCATGAAAATTGCACTGAACACTACAGGTCTGCATTAAGGCCACCAAAGGAGAAATCCTGCGAAGCAAGCAGGTGGGGCTGATTTTAATGCAGGGAGGAAGTGTCTCTGAAGGTATCAATTTTTTTTACAAAAAGGTTCTTGCAGCAGGCAAGGATCAAGTAATTACTTTGCCCCTGTTCACAAGATATCTCAGAATAGTAACAGACCACACACCCAGGAGATGATTAAAGGAAGTCAGGGGTCAGGAACACAGAAAAGCTCATGATACAGAAGAGAAGATTTGCATGGCCATTAATATTTCATGACTTACAAGCCATGTGGTTCAGAACAAATATCTGCACAATAAAGCAGAACTCTCTGCCATCAGGTTGCATATTTCAAGACATACTTGAGTCATAAAGGTATTATTTACATGCCTTTACCCACGAAAAGAACGCAAAACTTGTCTGAATCCTTATACCTACTGTAGGGGAACATGGAACGCCTTTCTGAAGGTTCAGCAGGATTTAAGTGGGGCCTTTGCCCTGTGCTAGACCTCTGTACGGAGTGAGTTTCAGCCTAAAGCAAAGCTTAAGTAGCATGTTTCATACTGCAGGCCTATTAGATCCACTACCAAGGAAAAGAGCTGCTGAACTGTTAGTATGGATCTTCAGCCTCTACTCCAACCCATGAAACAAAAGTGCTACTTATTTGCAAGTGTATAGGTAGCAGTGCAGACAGGAGATATTGTATTCTCTGCCATTATTCCAATTTTAGACACATCAAAGATGGTTATTGAATTAAAATAAAAAAACAAACCAACCAACAAAACACCAAACCATAAACGACTCCTCCCAGTGAAAAGAACAAGATGTGTCTGGGGTTAAGCAAAAGTATTTTGTCCCAGGATTTTGGCAATTATGCCTGGTGAGATTTCATTCTGGGAAAAGAGTTTATTGTGGTGATATAAGCAGGCCCTTTCCTCACAATCAAAGCTAGGAATTTTCCCTGCTTGCACTTGCCTGTACGTGGCTGGAATAAGCAAGTGGAGCAAGCTGTTTGGCTGACTCACCGGCACAACCAGACTCTCCTGTTGCTGCCAGCCACCAGTGGAACTTTTCTCCTGCCTTTGCACCTGGGCTCTCCCTTTCCCAAGCTGCTATAAGCAGCGAGGCTCCTGACTTGAAAGAAATGCTGAGAGCCAGAGTGACATTGCTAAATTGCCCAAAGGAATTGCTCAGAGCAGGGAGGCATGTTAGCATTGCTTGTCAAAGCTGCTGCTTCTCTGAGTCTCTTAGTTCTCTGTGTATGTGTGTGAAGAAAAAGGTGAGAAGAAATGAGAAGTTGTGGGGAGGAAAAAAAAATAAAATAAAAAAACCCACTGCACCAGAATGGCATCCACTGTTTTGCTGACAAGAATAAAAGTCCTTGCTTGGGGAATTTATAGCCAAAATGAGTCTAATACCACAGGGCTTGACTGCCCCTGATTGAGTATTTTGCAAATTACTCACATGAGCAACCCCACTGACTCGGTCTGAAGGATTCTTCCACGTGCAGAGTCTGGCTCACAGTGATAAGTGACAGCAAACTGCAAGGGGAAAGGCATGACAAGGAAGAAATTGCTCTAAGGCAGCATTATTTACTGCTTCCCTCCCTCCTAAAAGGAGTCAGGTGTTTTGACTATTTCATTCATTGGCTTCACCTTTGTTTTAAACCAGGTGCTTGCCAGAGTGGATATCACTTATTTCAAGGTTCCTTTACACACAGAAGCCTGAAGACAAATCTGCAGCAGGTGAAAGTACCACTTCATAAATATAATTTATTATTATCATTGTGAGGCACATGACAACTAGTAAAATGCAGTTGTTTACTTCACCAAGGTAAAATTTTGGAAGAGTCTTGACTGAGGAGGTAAATCTTCCACCTGAGGAGGTAAACTCCCCATCTTCCACGACGCTGCTGTTGGCCAAAAGTGTTTGGTTGACAGCTGTCTTGTTAAGTGTGACCAGGCATAAACTGGTTAATGCTGGATTTTTGTGAGAACCCCAGGATTGATTCGGGGCTCTCGTGTGGTGGTAAAGTCTCTCCTCCAACCCGTGCTTCCAAAGAAAAACTCCGCAGCCTCTTGTTGTTCGGTCTCAAGGCAGTTTATTGCTAGCTATCTAAAAGATTGTCTTCGCCCGCCGCGGCTGCCTAGGTCAGCGGCCCAGGCAGAGACACACACTCTCCTGACACCCTCACTGTCTGGTGACTCCGTTGTCTCTCCCCCCGCCCAGGGCTGCTGCTATCTTTTATATGATATATTACGTCTTACATGTTTACAGATTTTCCCCAATACCTACTATCTATGTTACAATGTGCTTTTCTACTCTAACCCAATCTGTGAGTGCCAAAATCACCAAGAACATGGAGGTAAGGAAGAAGAAGGAGGAAGAACAGGATCAGGCCCACTTTCCTCCATCTTAGAGCTCCTGACCCCCCTGTACAAAGTAAAAACCCCCCTGTACAGGTATTAAAACCCCCCTGTACAATACTAAAAAATTTTCCCCTCTAATTTGTGACTACTTTTACTATACCATCTAACCCTTTGTGACCGCTTGTTCCACCTTCAAAGTTGGTAACTCATTCCATGGCTCAAACTCAAGATCACAGCTGTTTTCAGCTGCTTGCCAAGGTCTAAAATGCTTCTGACCAAGGCCTGGAACCTCTGAAAATGTCTGAGGGACATTTTGAGTTCCGACAGATTTTGCTGACATTACTGACGTGGCTGATGAGGTGATTTTGTTTTAGATCTACCTGCTAACCCTAGTTCTTTCTTGAGAAACCCAAAGTTGTCTCTCACAAATGGCATTTATCTCTCTCCTTCCAAAGCAAATTGAAAGCTCACTGAAAAATTTCCATCCTGAATGTAACTGTGCACAACTACAGGCCTGAAGCTGCAAAAACTGTTGTTCTTGCTCCAAAGTTAATTATTTTAAGGCATTTCACTTTCAAAAGTTGTATGTTATGCTGAGAGTTGAACAATGTGAAACTTGCACGACTGCAGAGCAAATCTCACTCCTGCCAATCAGGTTTTCAAAATAATCCCATTTTTTCTCAGTTCTCCCAGATCTCAAGTGCTGTCAGTGCTCCCCACTTCTACATTTCACTGGTAAAGAGATAAAACAGCGTTGTTTCCTGCAACTGCTCTGCTGTCCCTTTGCCTCTCCTTGGATTTCCCAACTGTGAAAAACGGGAACATAGTTCTGTCCATCCCCAGTGAGCCTGTGGGACTCAGATTTATGAACACAATCACAGAAAACCAGGTTGAAAGGGACGGCAAGGACCATATAGTCCAACCTTTCTTCGTAAAAGCAAAGTCTAGACATGGGCTACTGCGCTATCAAGCAGAACCTTAGTGTCCAAAACTGGAAAATCCACCACTTCTCTGGGATTATTCCAATGGCTGCTGTCCCCATTGTAAAAAAATTTCCTCTTGCACATAACCAGAATCTTCCCAGGAGTTACTTGTGCCCACAGTTTCTTGAGATGACCATCCCTTGAGACAACACTACTGGTAGGTACCCTCTGAAGTGATCTGGTCTGAAGCGATCTGGTCTGAAGCTAGGATTCAGCTGGCCTACAAGATTCTGGAAACTGTATCATGGGTTTGACTAAGTAAGAAGTCAAAGGTATTTTGTTTTGCTTTCATGCTTTATTCTTAAGTACATTCAAGATTATGAGACACTTGGACATTGTGATGATACTGGAGTGCACTCAGCATTGTACTGCTCAAGCACTACAGACTTAAATGTGGCTATCCACAGCTTACAGTCTACTGGGATTCTCCTGTTCGTCTTTTCACTGACAGGAAACTGAGGGACAAAGATGCAGAACAAGAGCACCAAAGGTACTTGACTAAAAGAGTATCTTTCATCATGGGTAGCTGGGGAATGCAAAAGACAAAGTTACAGTCACACATGCTATGCATGTGAAAATGGGGAGAAACATGCCTGAGAGAGAAGGACCCAAGCAGGCAAGCTCCCTGGCTGATTACTGTGGGTGAGGTGGAAGGATGGGGATTTATCGACCAGTGCTTTCCCCTCTGCACCCAGGCAGGTAAATTGTCTCTGGGTACCAGGGGTTTTCTTTCTGGGTGATGTTGCTGCTCGAAACAGACAAAGGGAGATAAGGCAGTGGTGTATTATTTTCTGGGAGACTTTGAAAAAGACCACTCTCCGTATCTTGACACATCACTTAAGGTGGATTTGGCTGCAGGGGTCTTGCCCAAAACTGCACAAATCATTAGCAATGAAAGAAGCATCTGAAACCCAGGCATTACAAACTCTAAATTTGTGCCCTCAGTATCAAAGTAGTTCTCTTCCATCTGCTTGGAGTTATGTGTAGGTAAAACAGCCTTTCTAAATAATGTCACATTTGATCATCCTGATCTAGACCTTAAGTCTTGCTTCTTGTCTTCCTGTACCAAGAATGACCTGTGCCACCTCACCATCCTAATGAAGGGAGAATTTGTCTATGAAATGCAAAACAGCACAGAAGGGGGCAGGGTAGAACCTTAGAATAAAAGAACAAGAAATTCAAATTAAGCTGAAGAAGGGAGAAATTTCCAACAGAGAAATTAACAACCTTGCTTAAGATAACAGGGAGATATGGTAAACCAGTTCTTCAAGGACTGAGATAATTTTAATTTTCTTCACTTAGAATTCCAGCCTACAGTCTCTGATGAACTTCTTGTCAACACAGTATGGGCTTGACAGTGCTGCTCTTGTTTAGGGTTGTCACCTCTTCCTGGCTCATATCAAGTCCAGAGTAATTTTCAGTCATCTGTTCAGGACAGGGTTCAAAGCTCTGACATTATTGTTATTCTTTATCTTCTTTCAGTCCACACTGGTATACGTTTCCTATTTTCTCTCAGAAACAAAGCTGGAGATCTGCTTCATTCGTTGCCTTTCAGAGAAAGAATCACAATTGTCTCATCACTAAGGTTATACAGGAAAAGTCACACAAGGGCATGCAAGTAATGGCCTTGTGGCCCCCTCAGCAGTTCTGGATCTACTCTTCATGAAAGATCATGAAAATGATCCAGAGATTAACCAGAGTAGTCTCCAGATTTCACCTATGTTAAAAACAGGACATGGAATTTGCCACAACAATTAACATGCAGTAACATTTCTGAACTGGTAGCAATGTTTGAACTTTCAATGGTTAGCAGATAGGCTAACAAATAAATTCTGCTCCCTGCATCACAAATTTATGTTTTACCCAGCATCTGAGGTCAAGACTTTAAAGAGGCTGTGCTCTATGAAAATGCACACACATCGGAGTGATCTGGTTACCTTGTAATTTCTCTACCTCTGAACTGCACAAGGTGGTTTTAGCCTCATGAAAACCACCTTGTCTAGAAATCATAATTGGAAAGGTGTAGACAACTAACAAGATAAATACTACATTAACATTTCATTGTGGGTTTCTAATACACACAACACAGTGAGACTCTTAAAACAGTGATCCCAGTATCTTTATCATACATTTACACATTTCCCGTAACACTCTTGCTTGCTCAAACTGCCTTTTTACTGAAGTAACTACAATTAGAAACAAATCCCTTTAAAACACTACTGTAGGAGGTACAGACTGATGTATCTGTCATGGTATTAAGAAGACCTAGATACAAAAGACAGGGCTTCATTTTCACATGAGTATGAAAGCAAGCCAGAATCAACACTGAACACTCATTTGCTCAATGACTGACCTATGGCAGGAGGACCTGGGAACTTCCTACCTTCAGGAAGTTCATAAACCACCTGCTTAATAAAGGCCACCCTCAGTGAACTGAAAATCTACAGAACTCATTCAGAAAAGGTCCCACAAGCAAAAATAATTTTTCTGCTTAGCCTCGTCTGTATAAGGTGCTTAAAAATACATGAACTTTAGAGAAAACACCTTCATTTACTCCTAAGTTGCTGAAATGATGCAGTCTTGAGATGTGCTATTATTTGATGGCTTTTCCCTCGAACCTCACCTCTGAGTTTATCCAGTTTACTCTTCAACCTTATTTATTGCTGAAGATGAAAACAGTGAAAATACTGTGACAGAAATTAAGGACAAATATATGCTATGCTACTTTGGGGAAAAAAAAAAAAAAAAACAACAACCCAAACCAAAACCAAAAATCAAACCAAAAAAACAAACACTTTCCTTGGGAGTTACTGATTATTTGTGATTGCTAATTTTTAGAATTCAACTCAACAGGAACTGGCCGTCAGTTGTCTATTTTTAACTGTTTGAGACTTCACAGGGTCACCAAGAAAACACTTGGACTAAGTCTCTTTTTACTTTTGCGGGTAGACCTGAATTCCACCATAAAAAATTTCTGACACTGCACTTTGTACTCTTTTCTATCAATGTCTCTCATTATTTTGACACCGATAATGGTTAAGTTTGTACTGCCTCAAGGCAACTACAACAAGGAGCCATCTAGTAGTGTTAGGCCATCCCACATAAACATACCAAAACACACAGACAGTGCTGCTAAAATGATTATAAAGTCTGTTGATAAAAAATTTCTAAACTCCATATCTAGCTTTAACTTGCAGACTTATAAATGCAATTCCTGACATGAACGTGACCATAAACGGGTATTACTGACTTGGTGCAGGAGGTAAGAAAGGTCAACACAATTCTGCTCTCTAGGGATCCAGATGGGTGAAGGAGGGGGTGTGCACAATGCAGGCAGAGCCAGCATAGAAGGAAAGGCTGTGCCCACACACCAGGCCAGGACTACAGGGTACAGGCAGCTGGCCCTCAGAGTAACTGCAAAGATGACAAAGGCTGCTTTATCTGCTCAAGTAGCACATGCCATACAGCATCCCTACATTCTGTGAAATTCTAAGACTACTAGCTCAGATACAACTACATACCACTACTTTATGAAACTTATCATGGAAGGTGTCTTCAAAGACTAATTATGCCAAGTTTTTCATCCCTGATGGGTGCAGAAGCGTATCTGAACACTGGCATTTAGTTTCTTTTCCCCTACTCTACCAGATTTCTAAAGATGCCACACTTCATTATCTACTTCACTTACTTCTGAAGCAAACATTTTTTTATTTAAGCAGTGAAAAATAGAAGGAATTTTTAGCAAAGAATACCTTGGTAAAGAAATCGTCCTTAACTAAAACTAAGCATCATCACATAAATATTAAGGCAAATACAGAACACCATAATCTAGTTCTTCTCCAAAGTCTGTTTCTTGCTAGGTTCACACTAGGTGGGATGGCAGACATCTTTATTTTCTACAGTAATCAAAAACTATACCCCAAACCAGTGTCTTAAAGTTACAGTAAAGTAGGACTTCTCTTTCTTATTTGTCCTGAACATAACAATTGTAACAGTTATGCTACAAAAGTACAATATCCCCAAAATCATGTGGTTATCTTGTGAAATTTATAGAACTGATGCCTCCACAAACCCATACACAAAAAGTGTATTGCATGTTTATGACATATAATGCATACTTCCTTCATTTACAGTTACAAACAACAGCATATGCAATAAGAAACTGTTAAGCACAATATACCCTGAAAATCGGACAACCATGAAACTTTAAGGCTCTTCAACAATTAATATCTTTTGTAACACTGCTAGAAGCATTAATGAAAATTTAAGTGTGAAAAATGTACATTCTTTATTCTGCGGTTTAGATACAGAATAAAATTTAACTTTTCAGAAATTAAAACTATAGCTATAGCTTTGAGAGCTGTCAGTTTTCTTTTGAGGATAAAGTACATGCACCTTCTCCAGTTACTTTATTGCACATAATGTACAGTCATAAATGGTGTTTATTTACATGTGTTTTGGCAACGTCCATGTTTGCTTTTCCCCTCAGAATACATTATTTTGCACAAACAAAACCTTAAATGTTTCACACAAACTGCCACCATAATACAAGTCAAAGCATATATGTATATATGTCGCTTTATTGTTGCTGTATTTTCAATTAATTCTGCTGAGAGTTTCAGATATCAGTTAACCTTTGCCTTGGGAGGCAGTCTCCTTCCAGTTAGTCTGTTGTCAAAGACGGACACCCGAACTGCAGGCACCAAGAAATTAGGACTGCAGCCTGCTGTGCCTAAGCCCCAGCCCTTATGCACCACCTGCAATTAGTGTGCAGGCAAAGAGAAGGAAGAGCACTGTACTTTTGTTAACCAGTTTGATTCAACATTGATTACCACGTGTTAATGTTATGGGTCATGTGCTATTTGGACACTATTCCGTTAACAGTGTTCTAGAAAAATGTATCAAACATATTAAAACAAAACAGAAATTCCAGGAACAATTATGTACTTCCAGCCCTAGGAATGTGTTCCTCAGATGCCATTCTGTAGAATGCGCTATTTCTGATACCTGGTATTCTTATCCAGACACAAAGTCAGCTTCATATACTCATAAATATGTTTCCCTCAAGTTAATTTCCTAATGGATGGTAACACACTTCAATGTTTCCCTGCATTTTCAGGGCAGAAAACCTTTTAGTGGTCCCCCTCATGAAGTACAGTCTGGCAATAAACCTTTTGCTACATGTAGATTTTGGAAACACTTTTAAAAGGTATGCTGAAATAAAAGTATTAGTTCAGTATTAGTACACTGAACATATGCTCATTAAAAATATCTGAAGGATGTTCTTGAAGGCACTTTATAATATGAACAAAAATACTCTTGGAGAAATCAAATTTATTGCACTTTGGAACACTTAAGATGTGAACAGCAGTGCTCAGATTTTACTTTGAAAGGCTAGATGGTATTTTTGTTTATGTTCTGACCTACAAAAAAAAAGAAAATTACCATAAGATAAATTCCACTTTATTGGATCAAAGACCAATTACCTAATTGTCTTGAATGTATGATCTTTCAAACATTAAGACAATTTTATCTCAGAATAATAAGAAAGAAAATGAAGCTAACTTCAGTGATTTAGCAATATTGAAGTCATCCTCAAATTCAATTCTAAAACAGTTTGTATCTTTCCTGTAAGCAGGCAAAGTATAAAATAGTTAAATTTTCAGACAGGCACTCAGGTAAATTGTGAAATGCCTTTGGTGGGCAACAAAAATGAATACATTATTTTGATTTTAGAATTTTCCATTTTTTTCTGTCCTTTAGCTTTAAAGTACTACAAAATTTACAGCAACTTCGACAACTGCATATAGTGAAGAATGAGATGAAAATGCACTGTGGACAAAATATAACAGTAGTTAACATCTACTGATAAAAACACAAAGTAATAAATATATTACAGAAAAGCAGCAGTTCTGGAAATAGAAGTATTCTTCAATATAAAACATTAAGTTTTGTTCCATCTGAATGGTTTCACCTACACTGGACAGAGTACTTCACCAAACTACATGTGCTTCTCTGGTAAAATCCTTTAAGGATATAAATTATTTGCTCTGTAATGACACTTGTTCCATTAGGCAGTCAAAAGGTCCTTATATTATCTGTTGTAAATATCTAATATTCTTATCATCTGCCTGTGGCTGAGTTTTAGGATAGCAACATGATCTGTTAAATTAAAAAAGAAAACTCTGCACAAACTATTCAAAATGAATTAGTATTTTATCTCTACCTAAAATTTTTGTAGAAGAAAGAACTACATGCCATTAGGAAACTAACAAACATCATCAAAGCTAGACTATTTTTCTCCATAAAATAATGCATAAAATTTTAATTACTAGCAATACTGTGAGAACTCCATTTATAAAGTTTTATATTGCATGCATTTCGAGTTAAATAGTTTGAAACGTCATAAATTAAAGGAGGAATTTGAACAGATTCAGATTCCTCACCTTAATTTTTACTACCTACAGGAAAAAATGGACTTTCAGGAAGAAAACTGTCGACATCTGAAAAGTTATCTACATTAAGGATCTCCCTTGACCTTAGTGGTAATTACTGCCCACTCAAGGTTATATATCTAGAACTACCTGGGAAATGTAAAGAGCCTCAGACAGTGTAGTTCTAAGAAAAGGGAAGTGTCTCTGGAAAAATATTGCATAGATGTACATTCAAAACAGCATTTTCACCATTTCAATTCCCTGCATTCATGTTGCTCCAGTCATCCACAGGGATAAAGATCACATAAAGGCAGCTCAGGAATTTGAAATGGATGTTGCTCGGTAATTTAGTGAAAGGTGTATTTTTGTACTTTCTGCAGTAACTAGGAAAAGATCCAGTTTGACCTTTGGCTTACAGAAGTTGTACTCCCCTGAGCTAGGCAGTACTGATAGACTAGAGCAGAAGTACCAAAAAAAGAGTTACTTGAAACAGTGGTGGTCTAAATAAGGCACTTTTGCCAAAGGAAACCCCCAGGTTTTGTGTTTCAATGTACAGGAATTCTATCCAGAAATATTTTGTGCTTAGAAATGTCACATGATGCAACAGAGAATCAGGTGCCAAAACCAACAAATCACAAATTACTGTGCAATCAACTGCAACCGCTGAATGGTTCAACAAAGAATCAAACTGGTTTCTGTACACCCTCATGATTTACCAATACACGATTTTCCTCTTTTGCTGTGAGCCAACAATAATTATTTTAGAGAAAGAAAAAGAAAGTGTGGAATTAGTAATGCAGATGCTGAAAGGCAAGTGGCAAGACTCTACAAGAAGAATGCCTCAAAAAATGCTACTTTGTTCCCATTTCTACTGGCACCTATTCCCCAAGGTAAAAGGCCAGAATGACCAAAGCCAACTTAATAGTAGTGTGCAGAATGTCAGCTGACAAACAACATAAAAACAAGTCACGTTGTGTTATCTGTGGTCACGTTCTTCAGGGTTAGTCCAGTAACTTGACTTTACATTCTTCCGTCTTTATTTGTTTATTTTAATTAAACATGTAATGGTTAATAAACAGACATAATCCAGAGTTAGTAGGTTGGTATTATAACATTTATTAAAATAATGCTATGGGTTAATAGAAACAGCAAAGAACCAAAGAATTAAAATGCAAGCTATGTAAAAACCCAACTAAAACCCAAATATGTCTAATGTATTCATCCAGTAGCTAACTAAAAGCCCAAGAAAGACAACACTCCCAATATAATAAAGTACTGCAAAACAATTGGCAATTTTTCAGTTATCAAAATTGTGGGTTTTGCATTTTGTATCCTTTTTTCTCAATCAGGAAAAAAATTCTTTTGAATGTTATATAACATACATATAAAACAAGATAGAAAAATACATTATAAACTTGTAACAATGGCTGTAAATACATTATCTTACATGTTTCTCATAGGCAATAGGTTGGTTATGGTACATACATAGCATGAAACTACTAAGATAATAAAGAATAGACAAATACATGTCATCTGTATGGTTACATACAAGCGACACTCCCATCTACCCACTCTAAAAAAAATTACATAATACTGTCAGAAAGAAGTCTTAAAACTACTTATTTTAATAAAGAAAAAGTCATTAAAGAATGACAATACTGAGAACCAAGGCATTCAGAGATTTCAAAAGTTATGCTTTTTTTTTAAGCTGATCCAAAATTTTGTCAACTAAGTTTTCAGAAGTTTGTTCAGAGCAAACATTACTTTCACATGTCACACATCTATTCCATACATTTCCCCTCCCCCCCAGAAAAAGACCTTTGATAAATGTCTAAAATGTCCAGGTTTTATCATAGTTGAGATGAAACTGGATCAAATACTGGTATTGTTTTAGCAAATCTCTCTTCAAATGTTCGAGTGTCGCAAGTTTATTCAACCAACCAACCAAAATAAAATCAAAATGGCACAGCATATACTGTAAATAAAATCAACACAACTGTATGTGTAACAGGAAGACAAAGCTGGTGGCACAATAAACAAAATTTTAGCTGAGTACAAAAGGATGAATGTCTATTGCATAGTAAATAAACTGATAATTATTTCCAGGTGAGACAAGATGTTAGATGAGGTCACCATGCAGGTGCTTAAAAATGTAAGCCCTCTTAGCTTACTATTGACCTTTCATTTGGAAGCTGTGAAGATTTGCAGGAGGAGAATAAGTTGACAAGAGGGGAGTAAAGTTATCACCTGATATTTGCCAAGTTTAGTACTGAGCCCCACAATGTAACAATTAATGTTATCAGAATTAAATACTGTGCATTCAACAGCTTCAGCTCTTGCAATTGCCCAGCTATTCAAATCTCATATAGAAACAAGGGTTAAAAATAAGGTATAGCTGGACTTCAAATGGCTGAAGTTCCTCTCCTGCTTATCTTTTCAAGAAAAGCCAATGGGCCAGATCTAAAAATACTCAAAGATGAGCTGAAAAGTAAGTAACTTCCATGCTGTTTGCCACTGCAGGAGCTGTTCCTGGAAACTGGGGATGCGCTCCGTCACTGACTGAAAACTTGCTAAGCACTTTCAGTTTCATTATGTGCAGAACATCCATTTTCTGGGTCATGCCGAAGACTCCTACAGTTGATGTAATATCTATTTCAACCAGAATCAAGAAAATTCCTCTCCATCCCTGAACAAAAATGACGTAACTTCCAGCTCTACAAACATTTGTCAGTGAATAATCTCCTTTAGCATGAGACTGTGTGTATCACAGAACCCTTTGGTTTATGTTGCACAAGTACGGCATTTGCTATGATTTAAAAAGTGGAGTGGCTGGTATAATGAAAACTTAGCAAATACTTAATGAGATTTTGGCAAAGTCACATCACACTAGTATGGCAAAAATCAGGTAATTAATATGGTCAACTCATCATTTGTCTTCCCTCACAGCTTCTTTCACATACTGGGCGACTGAGTAGCATGCAGTAACTTGTCTGAGGGAGAAGCTGATTATACAAGACATTTGACTAAATGACCATGAAGAAAATAAGGCACTTCCTTTTCTTTAGACTTATTCCAATACTTAAAAAATAAAAAAGAAAGACTAAAAGGCTCTTTTGGTCTTTTGTTTCTTGACAACCACCAGAAAAAATCATTTAATGAAATAAAGGGTTTCTTTGTTCTTTTTTTCTTTTTTTATAACACTTGAAAGTATAAAATGCTACATTTCCAAAAATATATTTTTTTCTGCACCAGCACCCTTGTATAGTAAAAGTATCTACTTTTTTGTTCATTTTGTTTCAATGCACTACACTTTATCTACACTTCATTACATGTATACAGCAAATAGGCAAGCATGGCTTTTACATCCTTAATGAATTTTTTTCTATACAGGGAGGTTTAAAAAAAATATTTGAACAGTTTGCCCAGTAATGTGACACATAATGCATGTACCTTGTTCTCATGTAATCTTCCAAGGAGATTAAAATATGGTTAAAACAATTTAAACCTTATTTTGCTTTAATAGTGTTGCTGTTTTGTTCTCTGCATTAATGTAGTTCTGAAAAGTCATCGTAATCTGCATTTCATGGCACACTTTCCTTTAAAACGTCCTTTAAAATTTGGCAGGCAATAGAAAAAAGGCTGCAACATCTGCCCTTTGAGGGCACTGGTAGTGACTAAACAGCATATCAAATTTTGAATACTTTTTGGAATCCCTTCCCCAATGACATCCCTGACCAAAGGTTCATGCATGATGCATCATCACACAGTACATTCAGAGAGAGCTTTGACTTTTTTTTTTTTTTTTCTGAGAAGAAAAATATTCCTAGAAGTCTCTCACAGTAACTGCCTCTGTCATCGGGTAGTTAAGGGACATCTGTCTCCATCTCGGGCGAGGCCTCCTTACCGTTCGCTTGGGGCGGGACACTAGAGGATGATCAGTGCGGAGGGATGAGTTGGACCTTATTGCTTTACTACTATTCAGTGCAGGTTCTAGAACCACTTTCACCCAAACAGGAGAACAACAAAAAGCGGAGTTGGAGGACAACAATTTCTTTGTCTGTTTTGTTAGATGGTAAGACGAACGGACAAGTGCCCCAGCTCGCTGCACTGAAGACAGGCAAGCAAAGGCGTTTACCAGTTAACTGATCAGCAGGCAGGCATGGTCAGGTCATCATTGGGTGAAGAGTTCAGAGGTCAGAAGGTCATAGGTTAGTTGCCGGTGGCGGCTGGGTGGTTAGAAACAAAAATAATAAAATAATAAAATAAAATAAAAAACAAAAAAAAAAAAGAAAGAAAAGATAGAGAAGAGATTAGTTCCAGCTAGTGACGGCTTAATGACAACATGAAAACTAATCACAACTAATAAAAAAAACAAGCATGTTTAATTCTGACATACTGATCGACACCATCTACAGAATGCAATAAAATCATGACAGCCCTCCATCATGATTTGGACACGTGAAGGAGAAGCCCACTCCCACAAAACTGGTTAACAGGAGAAATAGAGATAAAATATGACTAACGACTAATGGTTAGTAGCAGTCGATGAAGAAAACTGGAAAACAAAAAACGATGAACAGTTTCTGAATTGGGTAGAAGATTTCTGGAACAACAGTCAGTGCACAGCATCAGTATCTGACTGCTATTAAGCATTAGTACCTCCCCAGGTGCAAGCATTAAAGCAACTATTAATGATGGATGTGATTATTAATAACTGGTTGTTAAAAGAATGGAGTCATCTAAGGAATTCTGGACTTAGAGAAACAATTTGGTTCAACAAACTATGGGCCAAACAAAGGGTTTTTGTTCAATAAATTTTTTATTGCCTTTCATTTATTCTATTTACAAACAACATGGAATTTCTTGGCCTCATGATACAAAGCAGTACTATAAACTGTAGTCTAGCAACGTAGGCATCATCGTGGAAACCAGGAAAACGCTCAGCCTGCTACTACAGCTAGCATTTTCCCATTCAAAATACTATTTTACACATATAGGACACTTATAAAATGCACTTGCATGTAAACACTGTAGAAGTCCTGCCATTTTAAAGTCTATACTTAAAAAGCTCTAAGTACATGAAAAAATAGAGAAAATATCTAATTGATACTAATAAGGCATTTAAAACTACAAACAGCTCTCTTTATTCATTTTCAAAGCTAATACTCTGCAAATACAATAAAATCTGACATTTCATATACATTCCTGCTTTATATTTTTATATTTTAAAAGAAGCCACCTGTAAATACTATTTTCTTTTGCAAAAAAAAAGGAAAAAAGAAAAAAACAACAAAACAAACTAACAAAAAACCAAAAAAAACCCAAAACCACAAACAAATTACAGTAAAACATAAAAAAGTTCTCAAGTGGAAAGTTATCATTCCCAATGTTCTTGAGCTATTCCTTCTTTAATCATTCTCTCGCATTCTCCTTCACAAAACTTGGTCCACTTAACAGTAGTATAATTTTTTTACTTTTTTTTAAGACTCGTTCAACAGCTTAATTAGAGCTAATAAATTCTGAGGTTGATAAAAGTTTCTGTACTGTTGCCATTTTGACTAAGGCAGAGGAGATGAAAGTGAGAAAGGTATTCAGTGCAAAGTCAGATTTGTGCCATTACATAAAATGAAGTCCAGTAGGTGTAATATTCACAGATACCATTGATTTAACAATCTTTCTTGTGGGTTCATTTACTTTCACATAATAAAAGTGGCCTATCATTTAGGATAGAGTTCATAACACTACAAAAAAATACTACTGTAACATAAATGAGACCAAACGCTCCCTGAATTTTTTTCAGAAATATGCTAAGTGGGATTTGTTTAAATTATAACAGCTGTTTCAAAAAGAAGAAAAAATAAAAATAAATATTTTATGTGGCACAATCTTACCACTTTACAGGTATACTAGAAACAGACTCTTAAAGCATTTTGATACTCATTACAATTTTGATTAAAAGGTATTAAAATTTATATATAAATTATGTGAAAATTGGTTTGGATAAAACATTTGAAAAAATTCTCAGCATTAATATTTCTTGTGGAGTTTAAAATCAAAGCAAGCTACCTTTAAAAAATACCAGGACACCTGTGATACATCCTCTGCCAAGTCTCTGGCCTTCTACAGTACACACAGGTTTGTCAACTGTGCAACACCATTTACAGTTTATTACAATTAAATCAGTCAGTCTCTCTGTTATATGAATCAAAATCAATTTTGTATTATTTATAAACTGGGGGTTTATTCTGAGTTAAAATGAGCTATATTTTCCAACCCTTCACCAATTCTACATGCTTAGTTGTAAAACATTTACACATTTGGGGATTCTTGCTTTAAATGCAGTGCTTATCTCTGGAAAAACAACCCAAACCCCAACAAAAATCAAAATTATGCAAAGAATAAAAACTACTTAAAAAGTGAATGCAGTAGTACTACAAAATCATCTGAGAGTCAATTTAGAATTTAAAAAAAAACCAAAAAATCACCAACTTTAGACCCGATGAATGCAAAGATAGATTTAGTGACACTTAACGGCATAAAAAAGTATTTCCACATTGGAAAGAAAAAATATTTCGGTTTGCTGACATTGCTTTTTGTGGCCATAGCTATAGAAATATCCTGGTGACAGAACAACCAAATAGATGAATATAGCAAATACTGATAATATTTTAGTTCTTCAATAAAATTTTAGTACATTAAAAAAAAAAATTATTGCTGGATAAAGTTGCCACCAAAACCTTTTGTGTGAGACTTTTAGATATGTGCAGCAATTACCTAGGATTTAAAATTCTAAATACAATTAAGTTCAGTTGTAAAATTAACTGGGATTATTTAGATAAGACTTTAAAATAATGATTTCCTGAAATATCAGCATAGTTTTCCTAAGAGAGAGGTATGTATGATTTATTCCACATTTATTTATCTACTTAAGACAGTGTGTTTCCAATACTGCTAGAGATGAATGCTGGTTTATCAGAAAATGGCTGTATTTTAAAAGAAGGTGAAATTATGCCAATAATTAATTTAAATTACTTTTAAATGACCCAGATGAAACATCTAGGCCTTTCCAAATATATTTAAAATCTATGTTGAGAAAATCTTACAATGATAAACTACAAAATGGTATTTTCTCCATGAAAACACCCTTGTTCCCACTTTATCTGTGTATTTACTAGTTGTCTCAGGCAAATATCTAATTACACAACAGGTGGCCATATCTGTCACCTGAAACTATCACTGCAGACCATAAAGGACCATTAGCAAAAAAATGTTTTTTGCAACATCAGGTTGAATTTTCAAAGGCAACCAAATCCTTATCACCAATTTCTTTAGACTGAGATAGAAAAAAAAAATTAAACTTATTTCATTTTTTACTTTTTTTTTTTTTGGTAAACATGGGCTATGACCTTTAACTGATTATAGCCTGTTGCCTCACTGAAATGTTCTCAAGAAATGAGAACAAGACAATGGGTTGCAAATAGTGGGCAGTGATATAAAAAAATCTTACAGAAAACTAAAGTAGTGTCCTGCATCAGCTTTATGCTTTCTGTAAAACCTAAGATCATATCAAAGATAAAAATGTTACAGAAATATACCAAATATCCAGGAGAGCCCTTTTTACTGTATTGGCCAGAATCTGTATTCTCTTGTAGTTAATTATGGAAGGTTGTGAAAAGTGCAGTCAATGTTAGGAGATGTCAAATCTGTCATTGCAATTTGGCTTTTGAATATTACAATATCATGGAAACCTGCACAACATTGATTTGGATAAGAGCAGAAGAATAATACTTGGCACATAATGCTTTGCATCCTCAAAGCTCTGTACAAAACAAGAACCCCCACAACATCCCTGTGAGGTAGGGAAGTACTATTATCATCCTTATTTGACCAATGGGAAACCATACACAGAGAGATTAAATGACCTGCTGAAAACCACAGTGAGTCAGCAGCAGGGATGGGGTAAGAATTCATCCCCCACACTGCTTCCTAGACAATGTCAATAAACCGAAAATATCAGTTTTCTCAATAAGCTTAAACACTTCATTCAGGGGTCCAAAGGCATGACACTTGAGGAACAGGAGAAAAATGAAGATTTACTTTCCATTCAAGGGTTAAAGAGAGATGCCCAAATATTGGATGTCATCTCACCAACAGGTCTTCAAAAGTTGTTTCTCCTTCAGGTTACAGATTTTAGCAGCAAAAGGCAAATACCAAGAAATAGATTTTGAAAAAAAAACACCAAAACCAAACAAAAATCAAAACAACCAAAACACCCTCCCTTCCCCTACCCACTCTAATTAAAACTCAAACAACTTTTGAAGTTATCTTCACAGCCCTTACCTTTCTGAATTCAGTTAGGTATCTGAGAACATGCATCCTCCTCATAATATACAGTACAGTGGCTCAAAAGTTTATTGGAAAAAAAGGAATCTAAATCTTCAGATTTCTCCAAAACACAGACAGGAGGCATTTATTCCTTTACTTCTTTCTCATTAAGCAACCATCCATTCATTTTATTTTGCAACACCAATCTGATATTTCTATGCCAATTAAAAGACTGAACGGGGGGGGGGGGGGGAAGGGAAGAGGGGAACACGACCAAATTACTTATTGCAGCACTGATTTCATAGCGTTTCCTGATGCAGATAGATGTTTCATTTTTAAAACTGAATCAGTTATAGAATTTCTGTTAAATATAGCCAAGTATATGTATTTAATTGAGCTGGGAAAGCCAAGTTTAGAAATTTTTTTAAAAAACTGCAAGCATTCCCAAAGGTTTAAAATATTAACTGTCCAGCTTTTTGAGAAAAATCATGAATGGGTCAAGACCGGGTATTTGGTTAACCAGCTGTGGTGTTGCAAATCTCATGTACACTCAAAGCACTTCTTACAAACAAGAACTGCAGAACTAAACTAACCTCGGTCTGCGGTCACAATCCTTTGGTAAGGATGGACACGCATATCGTGCCTTCGAACTTTAGTAGCCACCGCACCTAGTTAAATTGCAATTACCAAGACAAAGTTAGAAAACATTCACAGAAAACATTAACAGCAGGTTTATCAAAATGGATTTAAATGATCATTAACTACAAAAGTTCATTTTAAGAAAAGCAACAAGTTAAGGCACAGTAGTTTCAAATCTTAATCTTAAAAAGAAGTTTATCTGTGCAGATTAATATTACATTTATTTTAAACATCCTGGCCTTAACCTGTTTAATCCATTCATTTACAATCCCAAAATTACAGTATTTCATGAAATCTATTAGACCCAAGCACATTTAAGCTTTACTAGTCACATATTCACTGAAGTGCCTTTCTTGCAGCAGGACTATTTTAAATAATGCCATCTTTAATACTGACAATTATTTGCTAAACTTAAGATCACTTCCAGTTCTACCACAAAAAAAAAGTTTTAAAGCAATTCTTCAAGCCTACAGATTGTGATTTAAACTTTAAGTCAATAAGTATGAACTGCAATGAATTAGGTGATTAGTAAAGCAAACACTAAATAGAACACTTAGCAGTCAGTATACTACTATACACTCATAAATTACAGCTACTCTGTAAATAATAGGACCTAATCCAAATTAATAGCACTATTTTATTTTAAATCTATGTGCAAAAAAGTGCAAGTAAGTCACTGACTGCTAGGCCAAGCTTTTTTCAAGGCTGCTGAAAACTAAGCATTTGTTAAAATTCAGATCTGATGAAGGATCAGTTAAGACCGTTCTTGAATTCTTAGCCTTTCGTTGGGAAAGCCATACCTGAAGATAAAAGGAAGGGAATTGGAAGTTAGTCACCAACTAAAATTTGATCTCAACACTAACATCCCCAAAAATAGACAGGGATGCATTTCTCTGCCATTTTTACGAGAATTATTTTAAAACATCTTAAAAGTCCACCACAAAAATGGACAAAATACTATTAATGAGAATGAGCATATAACGAAATAAAACTCAACAAAATCCAAATTTAATGCAATTAACTCTATACAATTGCTCAGATAACAGAGCAGATGTATTAAGAGTTATCGATTCTAGGCAGCTAAAGTGTAAGTGTGGGTTTTTTTTCCCTGCTCCCTTTTCCTTCTTTAAATAACATTTTTTTGATGAGGTCTGTTTTGGGCAATACACCTCACACAGTTGACCCCGAGAGTATAAATGGTTTAAGATGCCATTTTAGAAGTAATTTTAATTTTTCCCTCAGATCTCTTTATAGAAAATCCTGCGAGAAATCCAGGTTCCCTGCATTGTAATAAACTTTACTCTGGAATGCTTATTTTTTTACTTGCTGTTAACTGAATTCAGAAAAGGAACTTGCCACTAACCACTAACAGCTAATTTGATGAACTCTCTAACTGTGACTTTACCCCAGGATGTACCACAACTGGACTCACACACTGGGGTTAAAGGAGCTAGGACGAATATTTACATTTTTGTGGGAAATTAATAAATGATAATGTTATCATATGTTTGCAGAATTTTGGCAATGGGTTAACTGACAACAACCATAAGCTGACAGATGTACTGCATACTTTTGTCCTGCTAGAATTTTTGTTATTAATTCACTAATCCCACAAGACAGAAGTCTGAAATACATTTTCTTTTTTACTGTACATAATGTGGAAACATGCACACATACAGATAACTCACCAAGTATTTGTCACGTGAAACACTGATTTTTGCAATGCTTTCAACAAAATATTGACTTTGAACCTTATTGTCCAGCGTTCATTAGAGATGTTTAGAATTTGTGTAAATCAATAACTGCCACTGAACAAACTACGATCAAAGTCCTATTAAATCAACATTATGCAGCACCAAGGTCATATGCAATTCAGAACAAATTGAAGAGAAAAAATTATTTAGATTTTGGAGAGGGTAGGGAAGGAAGAAACTATTGGAACTGCTTGTTCCATATTGGCCAGTTAACTGAATTGTCACAGCTGCTTTATCATTGTTGCCTTCACACACTAAGTCAGTGGTCTGAAATATTACGAATGATGGATATTTCAATGCAACGTATATAAAAGAAGCCATCAATAAAGTTGCTAATTTTATCATTCTTTGGTGAGAACTTGGTTTGCTTTATATTCATTCACTAAAATAGTTTTCTGCTCACAATATAATTTAGCTCTTTCTGACACTGAGAGATTCATCAGTTGTGTACTAAATAAACAAAAACTCCAATTGAACAAAGACTTTTCCACTCCCTCCAGTTTTGCTACTAATATGATACAGCAAAATAAGAAGCCCTCTCTTCCAAAAATTTCTGAATGGTAACTTATGTTAAAAAGAATACAAACTGATCTGTTATTCATGGGAGCCCAGATGACATGTAATAGACCTCAACTTGTATTTAGCTTTTTTTCCCCTTGCCTAGATATCTACCATCCAATATCATCCAAACATGAAGAATTTATTTTTGGTAAATTTATTAATATAAACTAAGCACACATATTCAAGAATGCTGAATACATTTAACAGGTTTAAGAGCTGCATCATTTGAGCAGCTCTCCTATGTGGTATTGATATACCTGAAATAAGTTTGTTGCTTCAGATTTTTTTCTTTGAGCTCCATGAACCTCTACCTTGCAAACAGAACAGAAGCACGAGCAACACATTCTCCAGTCATTCACGTACAAATGTCTTACCTAATACACCACTAGGTTCAATAGGGTACTCAAGGATTGATGTAGCTGGCGCCAGCGTGTAGGGGTATTCGTATGGCGTGTAAATTAAACCGGCCTCGGGTCCGGGTGGAACTATTGCAGCGGTGGGATGAGGAGTTCCGTTTGGCATGACAGCGGTTTGTATTTGTCTGATCAAAGGCATTATGGTAGGGCCAGCTGGCGTAGGAGTACGCAGGGCAGCTGGTGGGAGAACAGGCGCAGGCCCAGTAATAATCCTTGGAGCCTGGGCTGTTGCTGCAAGAGAAAAGGCAAGGGCTGCTACAGTAAGCAAAGAAATTCAGAGGGAAGTATGGAGATAGCAGTACAAAACGTGGAAAGAATGGGAAAAAAGGGAAAAAGTAGGAAAGAAGAAAAATAAAAGGAAATCATTAGTACATGCGCTGATCACACAGTGCCAAAGCACACCATTCAAATGCAAACAGCTTTCCATTTTCCAGTGTGATTAAGTATGAACATGCAAAATAAAAAAGCCATTGTAAAACAGTGAGGTAGATTTCTCAAACAGGTTACACAGCATGAAAGCTCCATTTAGACCACATTTCTTCATTTATGCTATTCAGACTGCATGAGACTGAGATGCATGCAGGAAATACAAGGAAAATACTATCCAAATCAAATACACAGTACGAAATTTAGTGCATCTATAGAGTCCACTCAGTTATGCAGAGCTGCTGTATGAGTCGAGTTTTTATATGTCTTAAAATTGTATTTAAACATGTACACAATTCCCATTTCCAGGATGAGTGAAGCTGAAGATGACCTTGGAACATGAATTGGTCCTGTCCTACCCTAACAGGAAGAGAATAGGCTCGAATTTTATTTCCATATAAAATTTCACCAAATAACATACTTCCTTTGTGTTAGGAGTTCACTATCGCCTGCTTAAGTTAAAGAAAATAGGTGGTTTTTTCTGTTTTGGTTTGGTTTTCTGTTTGTTTGTGGTGGTTTTGTTTGTTTTCTGAAGTGGTGCTAGCACATTTAATTAAGTGTTATTTGAAGCCTGTTGGCACACCAGATGAACAACAACTTAAGCACTAGCACATCTGCTAGTAACAGTCAATCTTAAAGGGTTGTAATTTATGTATTTCTATGCACTACTGTTGATCTACATTGATTTAATTTACCTACAGGTGGCCTGAAAAGAGAAATGTGGCAAAGTTTTTCAGATTTGAGACTGGTGCATATTTAAAACTACTTTTATTTTTTAAACAAAAATGCTCAGACCAATGTGAACAGACCAGACAAAGAAATTGCTCAAATTAATAAAAAATTTTCAGTGCAAAAGTTTACATCAATTTAAGCTATTCTGGAAGATCTTTTACTCATAAATTTGCAATAATTTAGAGACTAACATATATTTAAAACTGATCTAGCTTTAAATATCATAGTGTCCATTAGGACTGAAAGATTTACCATTACCATTGTCGTCGTAAAAGCCCCTGCTTATGCCCCTTTTCAGATCAGAAGAATTGCACTGGTGTAAGCACTCTCAAATTGACCTAACTGCATTCCAACCTTTAAACATAATCAACACTGAAATGGGGACTGTGTGGAGAAACAAATTTGCAAATATCAGTAGGTCCTTAGTAAAAAGACTGATTTGACTGTGCTTACATTTGACATCTGTATCACAGCTACAGCAAAAATGTACTTTGGAACAGCGTCAGCAACTATATTTTCTGGAGGATAAATTAGATTTTCAACTGAAGAAAATAATTTGTATCACACATAAGAGGTATATGCTTTCATTAGTAGGTGCGTGTAATTAATTTTCAAGTGTAAACTTGTGCATACATGCATTTGCAAAAGCATTTTCACACAAATGTAATGGAAGTAATCGTAAAAACGGCTCATTACATCACTGATCCGTGTGAACTCAGCTGTGAAATCAGTTGATGAATTGTTGGTAAAACATAACATTGGGGGTACACATGCAAGCAAGATGAAAGGAAGGAATACAATACAGAAAAACGTATTCACAGTATCCTGAATATCTGTAACATTTTAAAATTAAATCTCTAAAAGTAAAAATGCAAAGGAGTCTACTGTCCTTTATATGTTTTAAGGAAAAAATGACTGTAAAATAGAAAAATCTGGCTTAAGGGTTGAGGTTTTTTATACTATATATATTTGTATTATTTCAACTCGTACACACTGTTAAAAAAATGGGGACAAGAAACAAGCTAAAAAACCCTGCAAATTGACATAACTTAGCACCTAAAAATAATTTGCAACAGCTACCTACAGTTTTGTTGGGTTCTTACTGCCTACCATTCTCTAAAATGAGTTTCTACTGGACATTTTTCAAAGGTAGCTTTAATATTCAAAACCTGCAAACACTTCTATGGCATTGACCCTTGAGCTCATGACATGCTTACGTGATTTGATGTTGGCATCTCTGTAGGTGCCATTCAGAATTGCAAGCTCCATCAGCTGCATCTTTTTAAGGCTGTCTTCTCCTTCTGCCTGTGTATGAAAAAATGGGAAAGAAGTCATGATTATGAATTCACTAGTGCACAAGATCTAAGTGACCTAGAATAAAATTGTTTAAGTTCTAACCAAGCAAAATACCTGCTTACCATTAGTCACAAAAGTGGCAAACTTTGTCAACTTTTCAATAAAATTAAGTGGAAGTTGCCAGTTGACTATCATTAAGAGTTGCTGACAAATATCTTAAAAGTTTTGGAAAAGGTTCATAACATAAATTATAAAAATTAAGGATTAAATATAAGTTGCATTTGGTAGCAATCATTTAAGGATGTTTTTTCTCAAACACATTTTCATGTACTCCTAAAAGTATGTTAAAAAAATTGTATTATTGGGCCAGAGGAAGAATAGCCATCACAAATTTTAAGCACTGCAATTTATTGCAACTTGCTCTATTAGAGGTGATACTGACTACTGTGGGGGTGGGGCAAACAAAAAAATAAACAACAATCTTTGAGTAGCTTCCAGACAGGATATTGACAACTGCCCTGAAGCTGCATTCCTAATTCTGGGACATGTAGATGTATTCCGATGAGGATATAACTACTATTTACACAGCATACATTACTCTTGGTTTTGCTTCAATAAAAACTACTTCCCTGAAGTAACCTACTCCATTGATATTGCACAGGTTGCATAAATATTAAGCAGTATTCATTAGAACAATGCTCACTTTTTCAGTTGATAATGGAAAAATTTCTAACAGCAAAATGTCATTTTTAAGACCAGAGATTTTCTGATCTGTCTTTCCAAAAATGCTACAATTTATTTAGTCTACACTCTATTGAGCAGAAAGCATCATTATGATATAGGAAACGCAAGAGGGATGGTCAATGTCTACTTTAATGTTAGGTTACCACCTTGCCTCCTGTATAGAATGCCACTGCTAAAATTCTTGAGTCAGATGCATAGAAGGGCAGCTTTCCTGCAAACTGCAATGCATTCTTCCTTTGCTAAACTGGATTTCTTACCTTTTTACTTATCTAATCACACAATATTTTCCAGGTATTTGGAACAGTATTTTCCAAGTTAATGAGCTTGGTATACATACTTTACTCAAAAACTACAGATTAGTAATTTACTGAAGTCCGAGACAAAAAGAGTTTTCAAATTTTATCTAAGCAAATCCAGTACTTATTGTGAGGTATGTTCAAGGGCCACGACCCCTTGCAAAGGGAACTTTTAGCAGCTGATTTTTATCAACATGGCAAGATGAGTCAACACTGAATTTCTTTCAAATGTCAGAAATTCAAAGTCTCAACTGTAATACTGAGGACTTGTATAAACACCAATATAGCACACAGTAAACATTCAGAATATACTGAAAAGTTAGACATTTCCTTTGTATGTTAAATACTGTATGGCAGGGCAAGCTGGCACTAATACTAAAAAAGGAAATATACATTCAATTCATTCAATTACCATCTTAACCAGAAATTAATTGTATAGTTACGTACTGTATCATCCAGAAATGTCAGACACCATAGTCCCATAGACCTTTTGGAATACAAAATGCGCCGATTCTAGCAATCTTAATACAACACAGAACAGATTTATAATTTACATGCAAAATAATTTTATCTTCTTTTTAAAATAAACTATTTTTCCATTGCATCTTTGCTGGTAAATTACCTAGGCAATTATGACACAATAAAACCAATTCCAAATCTATTTCCCAATCCAGAGCTCAAAAATTCTCGTCATTCTGGATATACCTTATTGAAGTTATTTTAGCAATAAAGATTTTTTTAACACATTGATTAATCTTTTCCCCTCCCCTGTAAGTTGCACTTTCTTATTTGCTTTTTGTTTGTATACATGTATTTCTTTATTAGAAAGTGTGTAACAAGAAAACCTCCTCACAATGTCAGCTGCATCTCCCATATAGTTCCATTAATGTTACTAAAATTGCACACTTCCTCCAAATAAGACCTTCAGGAGATTGATCTATGCCATTAAAGACTTTCAGTAAATGCTGAATTTTACACTCCACTTGCTAGGATAATTTTAGTAACCCTAATCCCAGATTTTGCACCACAGTGAATATTTCTCAATAGAAATATTTATATAATAATAATTTTAAGACAGAAAATATTTTTACCCTTTTGATGTGGTGTGAAGAAGGAGGTATAAGTCCAAGTAATCATTATTACTTAACATTTTCCTATAGGTCACTACTGCTTTCTATTAGAAAAGATGTAGCAATTACTGAAGTTTATGAAGTAAGTTAATGGAAATAACAGTGGACTTAAACAAAGCAGACCAAGTCCTTAATTTTATTTTTGAGATTTGTTTCTCTAGACTATGCTCAGCAGTTGATAAACTTATTTTTTTAAACAAAACCCAACATACAGCTTAAAATTTTCCCTTAAAAATGTATCAGCAAAAAAATCAGAGATGCATGATGTGGACTTGCACTACCAGACATTAGCACTGACTGCTGACTTCCGGTGCTTTGATTTTTAAAGCATTTATTAGATACAAACCCCCCCCCCCAACCCCAACAAAAAGCCCACCCCACCACTTTAAAAACCACGTGTAACACTGACCACAAGGTCATGGTCCCGGCTCCTCCCAGAAGATGGCACTGTTTGTTGTACAATGCCACCTCTGCAGCACATGGGTGCACAGCACTGCTGCCACCACCCACCCTACACTGCTGCCCAAAATCCTGCTGCCCTCACACCCTGCCCTTGGAACAGTCACTTGCTACTTCCCCTCATGCTGAAGTCACAGAAGCGCCCAGGACTCTTTGGGACACAGTGTCGTGTCCTTCACTCTCTGGTACCAAGCTCTGCACTTGCACATCCTTCTCCAATAGCCAACCCCTCCAATTTCAAAGAGCTGCGTTCCCTGCCCTATCCTCTCACTTCTTTGCTGACAGATGATCAAATGAGGTACGTGAGATCTATCTTAGCTCCAGGCATTCCTGCAGGCACTGTTTGTTAAAGCAAAGAGAGGTTGCATCAGGGATACAAAGGCAATCCCTGAAGGGACGGTGCATTACCTGTACAATAGCTGCAATAAAGCTCAGTCATTTGTACCAAAAGAAAGCTACTTTACTCAAACATCAATAAGGTCACTTAAAACTAGATTTGCATTACTAAGTTGAAGCTCAAGTGATTGATTCAAACATCTCATCCTCTTTAAATCTCCAGTGCTTTCCTTGTATTTATCATGTACAATATAACATGCAGATTAAAAAAAAAAAGCCTTAAATGGTATATTGAAATGTAATTCTTTAAATGTAAACAACTACTTGCAAATGCTCACTGAATACAAATATGGAAGAGATGGAAGCAGTAAATCCTAACAAAGCCAACTGTGCACAGACACCACTGGGAGCTGTTCTATCTGTTCTATTACACACAGCCTGTAACTCCTCACAGTAGCTCAACTCTACCTGGGCTAGCAATAAATAGACCTAAAGGAGACCAAATGCCAGTGAGGACTATCATTTTAAGTAACTTGCTTCCTAATCTTTGTCAGTGTATGATTAGAGTTGCAAGGCTCAAAACACAAGTGCCATGTTTTGCACTTCGTGAAGTCTCTGGGAAACATTTCCTAAACAAACATAATTTTGAACTAAGTAAGACAGTGCTGACCATACAAATGCCCAGTTAAAACTGCAATTGTCTTCCCTACTTTGGACAATACCGAGAGTTTCACAAAAAAAGAATGCAGTTTATTATATAACTGCTATTAGTAAGAGCTTGTTTCATGTCCTGAAATGGGGAACTTAGATAAAACACTCCAATGAATTATTTTCATTACCAATGTCCAAGCTATACTTCAACCTCAGATATCCCAGTACCTCCAGAAAATCCTCTATTTTTAGGTACTGAAATGCCTGATTCTCATGTGCATACAGTACTCTGAGGAGTATAACACACTTTATCTTCTTATTTATATACAAAACATACATACACTAGACACATTTGTTATCCAGGTGGAAGATAGACAGGCATGCAGACTCTAAAGGTAAATGCCTTCATTGTGCAATGTCAGTGAAGGACTTCAGCAGATGACAACAGTTTTCAGAGGTGAAAGGTGGACTGTTAGATTCTGTCAATTCTGAGAAGCCTGTAACAAATTACAGCAGAGAAGGAAAGAAAGATAGTATTTAAAAGAAGGATCAAGTAGCAGTGTTTAGGATAGAGCAGAGATCCATAAACTAGACCTATAGAGACAGCCAGTGGCCACACTGCCCCATACTGCTACCAGGCCCAAAAGGAGCATCACTGCAGCTCAGGTAATTCAGAAACCAAAGAATCCACTCACTTGTGTCATAGCTGCGATACCTTATTCTGACAGAGCTTCTTGAGCCTTACAATCTCACGCATGTAAGTCTCAAAATGCTCTCTGATTTTTATTATTACTAGGGCTGGAAGGGAAGGCTTTCAACACATCTCTACACACATACGTGACTTCCCCCATATAATGCTCCATTTTCTTTTGAAGTAACTGCTTAGGAAAATATAACAGATACACTTTTCCCCCCCTACATTCATAACAAATAGATCCTTGTATTTAGGTGAGGTCAGTGACTTTCACTGACAGTCTAGCTTACAGATGTCACGCATTTCAGATGGCGTTTTTGCAATCCTGTCATATCCCTGTACTTCAGATGAATTCTCTGAATTAACTGAAGCGAGCCCAGCCCTAGGAAAGGCAGCAGGCAATTTTATTATATGGGACAAAATGCAGCCAAGTCTGGCTTTGGGGACCAGTTCTTTATAAGCTGTTCCAGGGCTGTCCTTTCAGGCTCAGAGCAGGAGCAGCAAGTGGGAAGAGAAAGTGGTGGCAAAGCAAAACAATGGCCAGATCAGCCTGGAACACAAGGGACAAAAACTAGTCCCTATCTTCCCCTGCCAACTGCAGCAGGCCTGTCCCACCAGGCTCATGGAAAGAATAAGCAGGGGCCTCAGCACCATGACAGCACCAGAGAGTACTTCCCTCCCAAGCACCTCAGCAGCCTC